GTTCTATTTATAAACGGTTCTATTTCATTCTTTCTGACCGCCAGAGGCAGTGCTTCACACTGAATGTTATCTCATCGCAGATGCACAGGTCGAGTCTAATACAAACAAAGTCCCTCGTGACCAGGATGACTCGGGGTCCTCCCCTATTTTACCCCGTGACTTCCTGCAGACTGTCCCTATAATCTTCTCGCGTGCATGTATTACAGGTCAGAGAATATTAAAGGAAGACACTTGGCATCCGTTTTTCAGCTTCCCAACAGATCAGCAGTTGGTGTTTCGCGACTGCGCGTCCTCCAGAGGCTGCATCAGATTCAGTTGAATTAAGCAGAATACAGTGTGGTGAGTTTGGTACATTTATGCTCTGGGTTCGTTTTCATTTTCCCCGGAATTGTTTGGTGGCTAGATAGAGTATTTTCGCTCTGTGGTGCTACCAGATAGTATTGTAGTATCTCACAGCTGTACGAGACCGCATTAAGAGTGGGTGCGCTCTGTTCGGTATCTGTGTGTATCTATCGGCGATTCTACTAAATGCTCTGCTGAATGCGTGTAGGCTTAGTTTGCATTCATTCATGTAATAGGTGTGTATATTGTATACGTTTAACATTAAGGATACATATATATTTATTTACACACAGATTGTTATTCACGTTGTGTGTGTATAGCATATATAGCATATATTCAGTAGAGCCTTTTCACCGGACTATTTCAGATATATATACATATATATATATATATATCTGAAATAGTCCGGTGAAAAGGCTCTACTGAATATAGTGATAGTCAGAGTGTTTTCGCTCGGCTTACAGGAATTTTATCCGGGCTAGGATGGAAAAAGTATCTCATGCCTGCACATTGTGCATGGCCACTCTGCAGAAGGATGATGGGCACGACTGCTGCCCTTCCTGTTTAGGCTTGGAACACCTGAAACAAGGCCTCACAGAGGATGCCTGCATGAACTGCAGAGTTATGTCTTGGGAGAGGAAGACTTCAAGGATAGCTTTGGTGGAAGGACTCTTGGGTGAGTCACTACCAACACTACCACCACCACCACGTAAATCGGCAGCTAAACGTAAACATGCTGAAGCAACGTGTGCTTCAGCTGGTAAACGATCTAAGGAAGATCCCTTAGCTAAGAAGGTGGATGTGTTGACTGCTGAGTTTGCTCAGATTAAGTCCTTGCTTATGAATTTGCAAACGTCTGAGAAACGAGTTTCTTCAGTTGAAGCTCTTAACTTTGGAGTCACCCATTTCTGAGGAGGATGTCATGTCTGTGACTGCTTCTCACAGTCAGTTCTATGAGGATGAAGAAAGGGAGGTTACATCAGAGATTCAGTCCCACGTCTCTTATGAGGAATCCCAGTATACTGATCGGGGATCTGTGGAAGGTCCACAGTCAGAGCAGGAAGTGGTGAAGCGGGTTCTTCGGGCTGCATTGGCTCGCCTAGATCTTGATACAGCCCCGGCAGCAGCAGCCTCTACTAGTGCTTTTTTCAGAGGTTTGGCTCAACCATCTCTTCTTACCATTCCACCATCGAAAGATTTTATTGATGAGTTGCAGAAGTGTTGGGCTAACCCAAAATCATTTGCGTACCACAGTAGTGCAAGCAAAGCTTTGGCTGCGATGCAAGATGCAGACACTTTTGGCTTGGGTCAGATGCCTAAGGTTGATCCAATTAGTGCCTCGTTTGTTCTCTCTCCAGAAGAGGTTTTGAGGCCTAATGTCCGTTGCCCTCGGCCTCAATGTCGGATTACGGATGATCTTCTTATACAGGCATATAACACTGCAGCGCATATGGGTCGCATTGACAATTCTCTCTCCCATCTTATGTTGGCATTGTCCCAGTCTATTCAGTCTTCTGGGAGTGATGCTACAACCCAGGACTTAAGTGAGGGGAGGGGAGAATATAAATACCCTGGAACTATGAGCAGTGCACTGAATCTGGAAGGCAGGCATGTTCTTGTCAGGTCAGACAATACATCAGTGATTTATACCATCAAGGGGGCACGAAATCCAGCCAGTCTCTTCAAGTATCACAGGAGCTGTTGAACTGGGCCTTCCCTCGGTTTGCAAATATCAGAGCCATGCACATCCCAGGAGTGACAAATGTGGTGGCAGATCTTGTCACGCCACAGACCTCTGTCGGGGGAGTGGAGTCTCAACCCAGAGGTGGTGGAGATGATATGGCAGCGGTTTGGCAGAGCAGAAGTAGATCTCTTCGCCTCTGCAACGTCAACCCAGTGCCCCCTCTGGTTTTCACTAGCAGAAGAATCCAGTCCTCTGGGGCAGGATGCTCTAGCCCACGACTGGCCAGATCAGTTACTGTATGCCTTTCCCCCGATACCATTGATCTTAGCAATTGTTCGCAGAGTCCTTCAGGGACACCACAGGCTACTGCTAGTGCACCAAACTGGCCAGGGAGACCCTGGTTTCCAATGATGTACAGGCTCTTAGAAGGGGAGCCCTTGAGCCTTCCTAGGAGGATGGATCTGCTCCACCAGTTGGGAGGTCAGATTTGGCACCCGAATCCAGACCGCCTACAGCTCTATGTTTGGCATCTGAAGGGCCAGAACCACTTTTGAGAGTCGGGGATGTACAGAACACTGTAATGAATTCTAGAGCACCTTCCACCAGGAGTGCTTATGCTTATAGGTGGAAGTTCTTCTCTGATTGGTGTAGGGAGCAAAGAGTGTCCCCAGAGGTATGTCCTTTCCCTTTGGTGTTACGTTTTTTGCAATCTCTGCTGAAAGATAATCAGGCAGCTTCTACCTTAAGAGTTTATGTGGCTGCAATTTCAGCACATCATGTACGAATAGATGGGCAGCCATTGGGATCTCATGCCTTGGTTACTCAATTCCTTAGAGGTGCACAGCGACTGCTCCCCCCTCAGATCATTCGGGTACCCTCATGGGACCTGAGTTTTGTCTTGAAGTCTCTTACATTACCTCCATTCGAATCTTTGGAGCACAATGACTTGAAGTGGCTCTCATTGAAGACAGATTTTCTCCATTACTTCAGCTAAATGAGTGAGTGAGCTCCATGCATTATCAGTTAACACAACCTGCATGTGCTGGAATGCAGATGGTTCAGTATTGAAGTTGTGGCCAAACCCAGCATTTCTCCCCAAGAGGCTCTCTGCCCTGTTTAAAAATCAGGCTATTGAGCTGGCAGCATTTAATCCTCCAAGGTTGGATTCACAAGAAGGAAGTGGATGCAGACTCTTGTGCCCGGTAAGGGCTCTCTGTGGCTACCTCAGGGCCACAGAAGATTTTCGGCAATCAGACCAGCTTTTTCTCTCCTTTGGGGGGGGCAGAGAAAAGGTCAGCCTCTCTCAAAGCAGAGATTGTCACATTGGTTAGTGGAGGTTATCACCCATGCTTAGTCTAGTGGTTGTCCATTGCCATTGGGAGTGAGATGTCATTCAACGAGAAGCATTTCAATGTTTTGGGCGGCACTAAAAGGTGTCCCCCTAAGTGACATGGTCATCTACGACCACGTTTTCCCGATATTACAGGATTAATGTGGCTGCATCGGTTACTTTTGAAACAGCTGTTCTGTTGGGACCCTCAACTTCTTAGAGGTAAACAGGACTTCCTTGTGACCTTGTGGTTATAAGTCATCCAGTGTGAAGCACTGCCTCTGGTGGTCAGAAAGAACGAAATAGAACGAGAGTTACGAATGTAACTGCGGTTCTATGAGTTCTGGATGACCGCCAGAGCTTTCTGTCACTCAGAGTCAGGGTGAGAAGATTCCGTAGGGACAGTCTGCAGGAAGTCACTGGGGTTAAATAGGGGAGGACCCCGAGTCATCCTGGTCACGAGGGATTTTGTTCGTATTAGACTCGACCTGTGCATCTGCGATGAGATAACATTCAGTGTGAAGCACTGCCTCTGGTGGTCAGAAATAACTCGTAGAACTGCAGTTACATTCGTAACTCTCATTACATGTCTTAACTATTGCACAGAACAGTATTTTTGATTGACCAGTGTGCTACTAAAATCTAATATGGCAAAGTACATCTGTAATATTTTACATTTGGCCAATATTTTCTTTGACAGAATGGAGATGGATTTGTTGACTCCGATTCAAAATTCAAAGCAGTTGTGACTGCCATCGAGCAGGCCATGGGGAAATGAGCATGAACTGATCATAGAGGTGAGAATAATCTGACATAGAGCCATTTTGTTGTAATATCGGCAAAATGCACATTAAAGGGATAGCACACCTATAAATTAATTTTTTTGCCATTATTTACTTACTGTCATGTATTGGTAAACAAATAGTATTGGTTCCCATTGACTTCAATGTATGGGCAAAAAATACAGTGGAAGTCAGTGGGAACTGTCTGGTGACCAAAATTCTTCAAAATATCATCTTTTGTGTTCCAAAGGAGAAATGAAGTTAAAATGAGTGTGCGTAAATGATGACAGAATTTTAAATTTTGGGTGGACTATCCCTTTAACACCACCTTTTCTTGTCTTTCTTCTAATTCAAATTTGTTTTGTATTTTCTCAGCAGTTTTTCTTCTCTGTTTGTTGGACTCCTGGGCAGTGCAACAATGATGGTGATGTCCAAAGTGTTTTTAGCACAGACGTTGCTTGATGCTCTCCGCTCTTCCTGGGAGAAGACACTCAGAGCAGGAAACTCCCTATGAATACTGCTTCAGATAAACGCTTTAACGGTTGAAAATAATAAGGGAAAATTAAAAGGGAAATTATAACATTAGACAGAATTTGGAAAGAACATGTCAAGTTGAAGTACTTTTGAATTGTTTTTTTTGTTTTTCTCTCTGTTTGCCTCTGTTACAACGCACAGAAGTTTACTAACTATTTTGGCATTGTTCAAGATTTTCATGCAATAAAAGATGTTAATGGTGAAGTGTTTGTCTTTCATTCATTGGTGCTCTAATTAAAAGGTGGCAGCACAGACTTTGTCCCTGTACATTTAAGAAATAAAATAGCAATAAACTGTCACAAAGTGTTATATAGCAATGCATAAAATTTGACAAGTTTTTAAGAGATGTTTGATAAGTTTACCAATCTTGATATTTTAATTCCATTTTTGTTTTGATTTTGTGTAGTTTGCTATTATATAGCTTCGATGACATTTGTAAAAGTACATACCATCACTGTACTCAAAGCAAGTAAAAGATGATTATAGCAAAGATACCAGATGCAAGGATCAGATGATTATGTGAAGAGGGAGAAAAAAAATCCTTGAGGCAAACCACTCATCTGTCAAAGCAGACATATGGCACATAAATATACATAATCCCAAATATTTAATTAAATAATAAATTAGAGTATGTTAGTAGTACACAATTATTAAGTTGATTTGACAATGATACATTTGCAATGTCCATCCTACAACGACTGGAGTGATGCAGGTAAAATGCTGTTTACAGCAGTCAGAATGTGACCTAGCTGCAGGACCCTGCTGTCACTGCTTGAGCTCTCATGTTATCTGATAACACAGTATATTCTCCAAGAGATATTACATACGAGAAATCTTATGTGGTATGTACAGGAATGAAGTCTTTTCATTTGTCAGGCCTTTTCCCATAATTCCAGCAGCAGCGCTGTGCCGCAGACACTCCGGAAGTGAGGCGTTTATTGACAATATGGTGACCGGGCCAGCTGAGGGGACTGGACGTTTTTGGGTTTTGCCATTGACCGCAGATGTGTATGATCAAAGCGAAAGCTGTGCGCGACAGAGTGTTATGAATGAAGGGACTCGGGAGCTGTCGGGATGTTGTCTCTGAGCTGAGCGAGCCTTCATTCACAGCGTCAGATTCATCATGTCGTTCTTCAGGCGGAAAGGTAAGGAAGTGCTCCGCTCGATCATGATGGGATGGTCGCCGGATAGAGTGGGCTTTTCTGGACCGATGCTGAGCTCATGTCCACATGAATGTGACATTAAAACTCTTTTATTATTGTTATGGCCATGAAATTCCTCTTATGCATCGCTGTCGTCTGCACACCGTCTACATTATTAACTCCAGAGAGATGGGATATATTCCTCTTTCAAGTGAACATTTTTGTTATTTTAGGTTACCACATGAGAACTTTGAGATTTTTTTGTGAATTATAGACACATGCTATTGTTAAAATTCATGCTGCTAACTGAAAAAATAAAAGTCCCGTTGTGTTTTGGGCGTAAACGTTGAAGTAACACGCATGTCAGAAAACACTCATGTTGGAATTTTATAATATGGAATGAAACGAATGATTTTAAGAATAATATAGAATCCTACTGAATGAACTCAAGTTTTATTCTTATAGTTGATAACATTGGAATTGGTTTGGAATTTTTTGACAAGGATTGGCTTTCATTGACATCTTTGATCTGAACGAGCTATTTTTTTGGAAATGCTGTATCCATTTCATTGGATTTAGATGAGTGGTTTTCAGCTTTTTAGACTCCAAGGGCCCCTTTGTCCAAGACAGTATTCGAAGGCCGGACTATTTAAGCTGATATGTACCTCTGGTACCTCTGTAATTAATATTATGTTAATATAATTTAATTTACATAATTTTAAGACTTATTGGGGTGCCATTGGAAATTAGCTAAGGCTCCTAAGTTGAGAACCACTAATTTGAGAACATTCTACAGGATTCCCATAGTCATAGAAAACCTGGAAATGTCAGCGAAGTTTAAATTGTGATTTCCATGCATGTAAAATCTTTGTGGTGGAAATTTGTTAAGAGTAAATATAAAAGTCTTTATAAAATCCTTATCTGGTGAGAATTCACTGGTCAAAATGGGTGGGAACGCTGCTGTCTTTAGATGTTCATACATACATAAACCATAATAATTAATCTGTAGTTTTGTATCTTTACTGAATAGAGTGACCGATCATTCCAAAATTCCCAGAATCCCTGCCCACATGACAAAGACCATATACATGTACCCTGTGACTTCAGTCAGTGTGCATTAATCAATGTGGCTGCCCTAAGGGGAAGGAACGATGCCCTCTTCGTCCATGTCCTATTTAACAGGAACATCACTTTTCTTTGTTCTTAGTCTGTGTAGTCTTTGTAATATAGTGTGTTTTCTTCATCCATAGGAGATATGTGGGTCAATGTATGTTATTAGCACAGCAGAGGACTATGAAATGTTTGAAATTCTGTAATACATGCTGCTCATTGTATAGACAAATATCATCCCCACTTTTTGCTTGCACTTCTCTCAATAATGATAGGGATGATGGAAATTCTTGTCGTTTTGTGCTTCATGATGCAAGACTGTTTGCCACAGGTGTATTTTTTTCCACACAAGGCCTCACCCCATGCAAATAATGCAGAAAACGTAAAGTGGAAAGAGTCAAAAATGTGGGCTTTACTGCATTAACCCATACTGTTTTGTTTTATTTTTGGGTGTCAAAGAAAGACGGCTACTGTTCTTTAATGCTGAATAATCAGGTGCGTTAGGACAAGAGATTCTGTAAATTATAAATTCAATTTCCTATGTTCTTTATCTCATAGCTAAAAGAAAGGAACCTGAGAGACCAGCAGATGCCAAAGCCAGCAAAGGTGAGAGTCCTGTGCTGCTTTACTGTGCTTATGTTATGCTGTTTATATACTGTATTATGTACACTGTGTACTGGATACTGGATATTTTCATCAGACTGTGCTTTGCATTCCAGCCTAACTTGGCTTCATGTTGGTCCTTTTTCATCTTGGTTTTTCATCTTAGTAATTTTTGTCAGATTTGTAACGTTGTAGTGAGATGTCATAGAACATGCTGGAATGTAGAACAATAGACCAGGTTAATGTGTATCAGGTTATAGTTTTAGTTCCTTGTGACCCTACATGTGGAAATGTTGTGTCTCTATAGGTGAGAAACTAATGGGTCGTTCAAACACAATGTTTTTTTGAATTATGCTGTGCTGCTTTTTACATAATTTTTCTATGTAAACATGCGCTAGACGTTCATGTTTGATCATTGCACTCTTTTGCAGCATCTCACACATGACACAGTGAAAATGAGTTCAGCTTTTAAAAATGTATCTAGATTTTGTGTTTGTTTAAATGGCCATTAAGACTAGCATGTTTTTATCCTTTGTTTTTTGATTTGAAATAATGGAAAATCTCTGCAAAGTAAGGATATTGAATTATGTTATGAATAGATATGATTGCTGCATATGAAGAACAGACACACACATAGCACATCACATATGGTAAACGCAGAAGCTCAAACATGTTTCCATGTTGACCATACATGATGTGCTCTATGTATGTGTGTTTATATGTAAATAAAAGCCTGAATTATATGTTTATCATATAAAGAGACACTATGTCTTCCCAAGACTCGGATTAAACACATGGATTCTTTTTATGACGCCTTTGTCACTTTTGGATCTACAATGTTTTGGTTACCTGGTCTTCCAATAGAGGGACAGAAACCTCAGTTTTCATTAAAAATATCTTGTTTAGAAGATTAATCAAAGTCAAATAGGTTTGGAACGACATGTGATGATAACAAAATTTAGATTTTTCAGTGATCTCTTTAAATGAATAACTAGCCAGTTGTGGCTTAGGCTAGGTTAGGACATGCTTAGGTTTATTAGCGTGTGGAAAGCATTTCTTACTAAGCTTAGCGGAGCAGTTTTGTAGATTGGAACTGGAGGAAAATATAGAATTCAGTTGTGTATTAATGTTCCTGCTCTGTGTGCTCCTCTCCAGCCCAAGTGTTGCCCCACTCCCCCTCTCTTAGCGGCCGTAATCATCATGCTATCCTGGAGGCAGCGGGACCCAGCCATGTGGCCATCAATGCTATCTCAGCCAACATGGACTCCTTTGCCCGCGGCCGGACTGCTATCCTCAAAAAACAGCCTAGCCACATGGAGGCAGCACACTTTGGAGACTTAGGTACACCAGCTATGAATTACAAACACTGATTCAAACTGTAGAGTTAACATGTCCAAAGGGACTTTTAACTTATGTGCAGCTAAATGGCTTTTTCCCATCAACTGTTAAAGACTGTAACTGAGAGACTGAGCCTGAATTTTTATTATAAATGGTTTGATCTCAAAGCTTTTTACTTAAGGTGGACTTGGTAGCAACATTTGATCTATGACTTACTGTTCTGTGCTGAGCATTTTAAACTAAATGTAGTGTGTGTGTGTGTGTCCATGGCCGAGGGAGAAGGAATTATCACATTAGAGGAGGGATTTTGTGAAGCTGTTACTGAAATGGCTTTTGCACGCACTGGCCTGCTGGATTTGTGTGTGAAGTGTCGTAATCTCTTAACCTTGTCATAGCTCTGTGATTGGTGAAAACCTGCACAAGCTCCTCCACTTTAAAGAAGACTGCGAATATGTCCGTGCCTAAATGTCTGTTTACTTCTCCAAGTGCTTCTTTTTACAAATAGGTCTGTCACATTACATAACCACCTGGTTGTCATTATGATTAGTATATGTAATCATTATTTTTAGTCCGTTTTCCAGGAAAAGAAAGACTAAATATGTACATTTTAAATGCATATATTTTCTAAAAGTTGATTTTATCCACTTTTGTTAGTATTCTTGCATGTAGACCTTCGTCAAAGACAAAATGTAACTTATCACAAATTAAAGTGAGGCTGTGAAAGCTAGATGAGAAAGTTATACTTTTTTGATTATACAACTAACAAAAATGCGAAGACTTTTGTTCCCTGCAGCCTCGGTGGTCTTAACATGGACAAAACACAATTTTGATTTCAGTGGGCTTGAAATCTCAGTGATTGCCCTACAATGATAAAATCTGTGAAGTTTACAGTAAAAAAAAAAAGGCAGCTGTGGTTGCCAGATTACCGTCTTGATAGCCATACTGAAAACACAGATGGCAAAGAGAAAGCCACGTGATGAATCATAGTTCATTCAAGTAGCTTTTCTACAAGCTGAGGTAAATACTTATATTTAGTATTTAAAAGGTGCACAGGTTCATAAACAAAAACAAATAATTCATTTAATAACACAAGATGTAACAAAGCCCTAATGTACATACAGTGGTGTGAAAAAGGGTTGGCCCCCTTCCTGATTTCTTATTTTTTTGCATGTTTGTCACACTTTAATGTTTCAGATCATCAAACAACATAAGTAATACTAAGAAGAAACATAGTTATTTCAGTGATAAACCATCATTTGCCAAGTGTCACACAGAGATTTCTGGGAATATCAATTTACAGTTTTTCACTTTTTTCCTTTTCACTTTCAAAAACGGTACATTTCACAGTATTTTACTGTAAACTTACATGAAATACCCCATTTCAACTATTATATTTTTTTTCCCAGTATTTTTTCTAAACTTTAACTATTAAAAGTACAATGATGGTGATATATTGAACTTTATCTATTAGTTTTTTTTTTCAAACTTGGCCATGCTTAGAAGGTTTGGTTATCATACTTGGTGTAGAAGTCATCTTCAATGTTATCATCTGCCCTTGGATAAAATGTCTTTGTTATAATGTCCTAACCCCTCCTTTACATTTAAAAAGATATGTAACATTGAAACGAATGTGTTGACAAACCAGTGTTGCAAGGTAACTTTGGTAAAGACAATGCTTCTAACGTCAAATCTTAAAAGTATTGCCTTAAAAGTATTAGTATTTTTTCATCTCAAGTACCGTCCTTTGTGTTTTCTGATACTGGACTCATTGTGTGGATCCCTGAGTTCACATCTCAGTAAATGTTTTAATCAGACCATCTTCTGGTGTCCTGTGGTGTTGAAAGAGGAAGGCATGGTCTTTCAAAGCATTCAATGGAGGTCACGGCTCTATTATAAGATTTGTTTTGTGTGTGTGTTTATTAATGCAACAAAGTCTGTGCTTCTACTGTATATTATAAATGGATGGCTGGGTGTGGTCTGGAGAAGGCATGGGTTTGAAGTAGAGGCATTAAAGGTGCTCTGAGTTCAGTGTTGTATAGCAATTGCTAGTTAAAGGCATCACTATTACTGCTGTTGATACTTTAGGGGATTTGAACAAACATCTAATCCAAAGTATTAAACATTAAACATATGCTGATTGAGAATACCAGAATATGGAGACTTCTGGTGGGCTCTTTTGACTTTAGACCAGCAAGCAACCACCTATAGAAACAATCTAGAACTCCCTATAGCAACCGTAAAACAATGCCTTGGGATTATAGTAGAGAGTTTTGGACAGGCGAGCGGCACTTCATTTTTTTTTTTTTTGTCAAGTCAATTTTGATTGCTTTGTTTTGTGTTGTTTTTGGTTGTTAGTTTTTTTTCCTGTTTATTTATTTTGGAGTTTTTGTTTTTATTTTGTTTTTTGCTTGTTTTGTGTTTTAAAATTTTGCTTTTAACTTGTTGTTAGCTGTGTTGATTTTAATGATTGGTTATTGTTTTTATCGGGTTTGTTTTTCTTGTTTTGTGTTGTTTTTGATTATTGGTTATTTTATATCTTATTTATTATGGGGTTTTGTTTTTTTATGTTTTGTGGATTGTAACAATGGGGTTTAAAAAGTGTCTTTGCTTTTCAGGTCGCTCCAGTGTCAACTACCAGGTTCAAGAGACTCGGTCTCGGCTTTCTAAAACCGTAGACCAGATCTTGCGGGATAATGTGGCCATGCCCTACTTCATACAGTTTACGGAGACCCGCTCAGCTGAGCACCTGGTCCGCTTCTGGCTTGAAGCTGAGAGCTTTCGATCCACCAGCTGGTCTAGGGTCAGAGCGCACAGCCTCAACTCAGTCAAACACAGCACCTTGGCTGAGCCTGCGGCTGCCCTGGAATCCCCCGACTCGCCAGACTCCCAAGACGACCCCAGCAGACCCTCAACTCTGGATGAAGGAGATGAAGAGGACACTTTCTCCTCCCGGACTTCCTCCAGACCTCACACCCCCAGCCCCCAAGACACTAACTCTCATACCGGGGCTCTGATTGGCCACCGGAACTCTGTTAGCTCAGAAGGGGCGGCCCGGCCTGGGACTCCTCATCTGCAGCCCAGCTTAAGATCAGAAACGCCTACCAGACAGCCCTCCTCCAGGACAGGCACTCCAGTTAAAGGCCAGTCTACTAGTGGCCTCTCTGACAAACTAATGAAAAGTGAGTACAAATTATGGTAGCCTTATTGTTGAAAGTATTTTACTTGTTTGTTTTGACTGTATTACTGCAATTAGTCCTTCCAATGGATATTTTTTAACAAGTGCTGGCTGAGATGATTTCCTGAGTAATTTAGGGTTAAAGGAGGATTCTTAGTTACATTCTACTTAAAGGGTTAGTTCACCCAAAAATTAAAATTAGACTGTGTTTTACTCACCCTCGAAGCATCCTAGGTGCATATGACTTTCTTCTTTCAGACGAATCCAGTCGGAATTATATTAAAAATTGTCCTGGCTATTCCAAGCTCTATCATGGCAGTCAGCGGGTGTTGCAGTTGAACAGTCCACAAGTCTTCAAATAAAGCTCACGCATTCATAATAAAACGTGCCGCAGACAGCTCCGGGGGATGAATAAAGGCCCCCTGTAGCGAATCCATGTGTTTTTGTAAGAAAAATATCCATATTTCAAATGTAATAAACGCTTTTCTCTCACTTCCGCTGACTGTCATACACTGAAGCAGTTCCAGCGGATGACGCAGCATGTCAGTGTTGCGTGATTAGTGACGAATGCGGAGAGAGAACAAAACAAAACGCGAATTACGAATTAGGAGTACAAACCGAGGATTTGCAAAGAAAAATGTCGGAGGATTTCGATATAAACCAAGAGGAGACTGGTTTTCCTTTGCCTAAAGTAAGGAAACTTTGCTTCCTTTGCTCCTATAAACAAACTCGCGAGACTAGCATACCTCAGAGGCGCGCGCTGCACATACGTGCTGCATCATCCGAAGAAGAAAGTCATACACCTAGGATGCCTCTGGGATGAGTAAAACCCAAGCTAATTTTCATTTTTGCGTGAACTAACCCTTTTAAGTAGCAATAGCATGTTCTGTGGCGTGCTGTTGATCCCCACAGTAAAAGCAGGAAACGTGTTTGTTGTATTGCATTTATAATGTAAAACAGTAATTCGAAGCTTGAATTTTTTAAGGCACTTTTAAATGTTTATTACTGGATACGCTAATTTGTCTAAAAGGTCTTAAAGTGGCCCTACTTTATTACATTGATGAATCTCTGGTTATGTGTTATCGTTATATAATTCCTTCGCTTTCAAGGTAGTTATGTCACATTTCTTCCTGGTATCCTGACATGAACGCTAGGCAAAGCTTAGTGTGTAACTAGTTAGATAAAGCTTTGTCCGGGCAAGGTTAGGTGATTTTATTACACTATTTTCAAGTTATAAAAATTGACCCTTATGATTGGGTTTGTGGTCCAGGGTCACATTTAGATATTTGTATGTTTGTGCACTCACATGTTCTCTATTTTTACACTTAGATTAGAAACACACACTTTTATAATAATTTAAAAACGAAATCTTTTCTACTATTCCTTCCAGTATTTTATTGTTGTGCATCATAGTTGCATGTTTTGAATGCTTATGATGGTGCATACTTGCTTGCTTGGCTTTCTTTTCAAGTCCATAATGATAAATACATATTTTAAATAAAAAAAGTTAAAGTTTGGTGAATTATGACCTGCAAATTTGATGTTTGATCAGTGTAACATCCATCTACAAGACCTTTTGGCTGAATTAAGAAAAAACTACTTTAAAACTACAGGGTTTGCAGTATTCCTTAGTAATTTCACGAAAACTGTACCTTAAGCTTGAGTTTTTACGAGCATTCCTTTATATCCGTAGGGAATATTCTGCACTTAAGTTTTTCATGGTTAGTGGCCTTTTACCGTTACAACATATTCCTTTCGTATCAGACGATGACTTTTAATATCCATGCGGCATTGGTTTTATAGAGCAAGCTTGGTAAATGATCTCATTTAGCATCTTGGCAGTGGACTACAATGAACAGAAGTCAGTAGCTGAGTATTCATTAATGGCTAATACAAAGAAGCTCTAGGCTGTAAAAGCAGTGAATGGAAAAAGTCAGTTAAGCCGAAAGACATCAAATCAGCTTAGAAGGGGAGTCAGATCCTATCAGTCCATGGCTTCTGCTGCGAGAGCCTTCGGTGTCTGAAAAAAGAACAAGTCTTTGTCCACTTCATTGCATTTTATAAGGCTGTCTCTGGCTTTTCTCAGCATCGAAAAATACATTTTATGAAAAGCACTTCAACATTTAAACATGCTCTGATGAGATTCCTCATCTCACAGACCCCCATTAAACTCAAACACTTTCAACATGGCCTTTAAACACAGAGTCATACTACTCATGATGGCTGAACATCAACCATAATTCAAATAAATCATTGGCCTTATCTATTCATTTCATAAATATAGTTACTATATACTTCTGTTTTTAGTTTTTAGATTTAGTTTTTCTGGTGTCCCAAGTACACTGCATACAAGCATACTGACGTGCTTTTCTGTATGAAATATGCGCCCATCCTGTATTTGAGTTTGATATTAATGTTTAGCAAGGTGTAGATGTAAGATTTGTCCCTAGGCCTTTGCTCTAATTGTACTATTCATTTGTTTGATTAATAGTGAGTGACACTTAAGCACACATGAGGCTTTAATGAATAGCCATGGCTGAAATGTGAATTAGTACACTTCTGTAAGTCAGTGAAGAGGGATGTTGAATATGATAAAGGTGTTTGCTGTGGATCAAGTCTGATTTGTCCTTCATCTTTATCCCCTGTATCCTATTTTCATTTTCCATATATACTGATTTTTCTCATTTCTAGGTATAGAGAGGGATGCCGTTAACATTTTCACTAAGTACATATCTCCAGATGCTGCTAGGCCAATTCCCATCACTGAACCGATACGCAACGACATTGTAGGTAAGAAAATTCCTTATCAGTGACCTCTCTGTTTCGACTGCTGAAGATGTACTCCAGTGTTTTTTTCTCTGTTTGAACAAGATAATTATATTTATAGGAGATATTGGGTGATTGCACTAATCCACAAATTACTTAAGTTATTCGGTTTATAAATGTGCCGGACACTCCCTCTGATGCGAAATAAACCAATATCCAAATACAAGTTGCAAAGACTAAAATCTCAAATCCAAAGAGATATTCTTTATAAAAGTTAAGCGTCAACCACGCCTACCTAAAACGCTTCGTTCTAACACGCCCCCACATGTCTACATCACAATGCCAATCAGCGTACACCTCTCTTTTCAGACCAATGAGCTTTGTAAAAATCGACGCGTTTCAGAAAGGCGGGGCATAGAGGAGAAACAATAATGTACAGTATGTGGAAAATAATGTTTTTTTTTTTACCTTAAACCACATAAACACATTTCATGACACTAAATACACCAAATAATGTTCTTTTTAGCAACATCATATGACCCCTTTAAATAGTCCATGTGACATAAGTGGTTCATCCGTAATTTTATGAAGCTACGAAAATATGTGATACTGACCTGGGAGAGAAGAAATCGTTGAATAAAGTTGATATTTTTGTTTTCTTTGCACACAAAAAGTATTCTCATAGCTTCATAAAATTACGGTTGAACCCCTGATGTCACATGGACTATTATAACGAAGTCCTTACTATCTTTCTGGGCCTTGAACATGTCTCAACTCAACTCAACTTTTATTTATAAAGCATTTTCAAAACCATTCAAATGGACCAAAGTGCTGTCCATAAATAATAAATAATACTAAAATACATGCAAACATAAAATAATTAAAAAAATATAAAAAAATGTCAGTTGCATTGCTGTCTATGCAGGGTCTGAGAGCTCTCGGATTTCATCAAAAATATATTAATTTGTGTTCCAAAGATGAACAAAGGTCTTAACGGGTTTGGAATGATATGATGGTGAGTAATTAATGACAGAATTTTCATTTTTGGGTGAACTATCCCTTTAATTGCTTGTATTTACAGGTCAGGGGGCATGGATTGTTATTTTGAATAATTATATTATTAAATTCAATTTTTATGTTGTTATTTTTTTTTAATTAATCATACAAAATTGACACAATAAATTGACAGGCCTAGTGTTTCCTCTATATTTATTTTAAATGTATTTGTTTATCCAGCCTCTTCTCTTTCTGTAATTTCATGGAAATGTCTGACACCTGTTTTACAGGCACTTTAGTGAGTTCTTGTGGAGCCATTATTTCTGTAAGTACCAGATCGAGGTGCTGACCAGTGGTTCTGTGTTCCTGGCGGACATCTTGTTTTGCGAGTCAGCCCTCTTTTACTTCTCTGAGGTGAGGGCACTCACTTCAGCCTCTGTTTAAAAGGAAATTACAGCATTAATACAATTTTAAATATGGTTATACAGTACATTTACAGCTTAACTTGTATAGCCCACATTTTCCTGTAGATTATCTTTCTTATATGCACTTTTAATTATATAAGTATAGATGTTGAATTATGTGTAATGTTCTTTACTTTTTAAATGTGCTTTAAAATTGGATTTAAGTGTTTTATGAGTCCAGATATTATGTGTCCTGTTAGAACACACTTTCAAGTTGAATTTATGTTGAATTTATGCATAGAGCTGTATAAGCACATGAAATATGCTGAGCTCGACAATCTGCCCAAAACCTGTTTCTAAATGGCAGAATGCACCAAAAGTGCAAGTGTGCGTATAAATTGATGGATTTCTGATCCAAGTACATTTGAAGTGCCAAGGGATTATAAAGTAGGATTGAAACCTAATTCAGAGTGTGTGTGTTTGTGTGTGTGTCAATATAGTACATGGAGAAAGAGGATGCAATGAATGTGCTGCAGTTCTGGCTGGCTGCAGAAAACTTTCAAGATCAGTTGGCTGCCAAGAAAGGCCAGTACGACGGACAGGAAGCCCAGAATGATGCCATGATTCTCTATGACAAGTATGTCCTATTTGAAGTCAAGTGTAATCTTTGTTTTGGCACATTATTTCAGTCTACTATTAGGGATGGATCAGGATGGGCAACTAAACAACTAGTCATCCAATTATCACCCCCCTCCCTTGATTAACTCATTAGGAAATTAAGTTGTGAAGTTTTTTTTTTTTAAAGTGGTGTTGCTATAAATATATTGGATTAATAGACTTCTGTCGTCGACCTCTGAAAATTCAATTTTTAGCATTTTTAGTAGTTTTTTTTCTTCTCAGTAAATATTGTTAAACTTAAATATTGTTATACTAGAATTACCCTGCTGGGTTTTTTTTCCTACACTAACATTCAAATGGAGTTGGTCTCTTATGCTCACCAAGGATGCATTTGTGTGATCAAAAACAGTAATATTGTGAAATATCATTACAACTTTTATTTAATTTAATGTACAGTACGTTTAACATATTTTAAGATTTAATTTATTCCTATTATGTCAAAGCTGAATTTTCAGCAGCCATTACTCCAATCTTAGTGTCACATGATCCTTCAGAAATCTTTCTAATATGCTGATTTGCTGCCCAAGAAGCATGCCTTATTGTGGAGAAAAAACAAAAACAAAAAAAACCCGCAGCTTCTAAATATTTTTGGCGTAACATTTCTTTTCAGGATGCTTTAATGAATAAAAACTTGAAAAGAACAGCATTTGTTTAAAATAGTACTCTTTTGTAACATCTTTTGTAACATTTATAAATGTTTTTACTGACACTTTCAATCAATTTAATGCATCCTTGTTGAAAATCTTACTGACCCTAGACTTAAACATGTCTGTTTGGTTTATGGTGGACATGACTCTAAATCAGCATTTTTATACAGAGCTTCCTTGTTGCTAACTAGTCATTAAGGCAACCCATAGGCCTGTTGATTTTGACACTATGCAATTATGCACATGCCTCTCTAGTGTTTAAGATGTGGCAACAGCATAACCATTACTTTTGGTAGACAGAAGACATGACAGTTCATGTGATCTGCTTAGGTATTTTTCACTGCAAGCCACAAATCCGTTGGGTTTTGGTGACTCTGTACGGATGGAGATTGAATCCAATATCTGTCGAGAAGGCGGACCTCTCCCAGACTGCTTCAACACTCCACTAAGACAGGCCTGGACCACCATGGAGAAGGTGTTGTTATGTTGCCACAACACTTTTCTACAAAAATTATGAAGGTGGAAGCTTGGTATTAGAAAGAAAAATCCTTCTGAAGTTTTCTTGTTTTCTCAATCTCAGGTTTACATGCCAGGCTTTCTGTCAAGCAACCTTTACTATAAGTATTTGAGCGACCTTATCAACTCCGTACGGGTGGACGAGTTTACTGGAGGAAATGCCAACACTCCGAGCCAGGGCTGGATCCCAGAGGTCGACCGCAACTCAAGCGTCACAGAAGGGTCACAAGCCCAGGTGACTGACTGGTTTGATGGTCTCCCCTAAAGCTACATCGCACTTGCTTTTCATAATAATACAAGGATTCTTCAAGAATATGGTTGCAAGTATGGCTAACTTTGTTCTGATCTACAGTTGCAGCAAGGTACTAAAAAAGCGGCAGTCAAGATCCTGAAGAACTTCGATGAGGCGATAACGGTGGACATCGCCAGTCTGGACCCTGAGTCTCTCTACCAGAGACCATATGCTGGGTGAGTCAGGGTTTGAAACCTTCATGCTACACTTCCTTCCCATCATTGGACCTCAGATTGGTACAACATAAACAACAAAAAGGATTGTTCAAGGCCATTACTACATTAAACATTCGTTGATCATGGATATGTTTTTAGGCCTTGCAAAGTTGAACACTTTATACATCAAGGTTATATTTTTTCTCACTGGCTGACATAGATGAAAGTGAAAATACCTACTTTTTCGGGCACATAAAAAGTCAGCTAAAATATTCTGTACAATTTTTTTTGTGGTCTGCCTGGGTCAGCAGAAAAAGATTCTTATTGTTGAAGCCTGGTATTATGCACAAAACACTGGATTCAGATCCAGATTCAGCTTTTCTTGCTTTCATCTCAGAAGAATGACCTTTGGGAAGGTGAATGAGCTGGGCCAGTTCATCAGAGAGGCTGAGCCAGAGCCAGATGTGAAGAAATCCAAGGGTAGGACACACACACACACACACACACACACACACACATACACACACACACACACACACACATGCATTTGCTCTTGAGAACTTTTTTCTCCTCTCTCTCACTGACACACACTTGCACATGTTTTGTATTGTGCGAGTTGGCTCTTAGTTATGACTTATGCTGAAGTGCTCTTGATGTCTTCAGTGCAGAGAGTGTGTTGCCATGGCGATAAGTAGCCGGTGATGTGTTGAAAAGCAGGATTCACTGCTCTGTCCAGCTCACTCGCTCTTACTTTATTTCCTTTCTATCAGGTTCCATGTTTTCTCAAGCAATGAAGAAATGGGTGCAAGGAAACTCGGATGAGGTGTGCACCTGCTTATTTCATTCAAATGACATGTGTCATCTTTTCTAATGTCTTTTTATTAAGTGGAAATGGATTTAAGCTGGTTATAGTTCATGATATGTACTGTCTTTGTTTTTGGTGTGCCAGGCACAAGAAGAGATGGCATGGAAGATTGCAAAAATGATCGTCAATGATGTCATGCAGCAGGGACACCAGGGAAGCCCTGAAGTGAAGGCAACAAAAGTACATCTTATTTTATCTTTGCATTCATAAAGATTTGTTTCTTGAACTTCACCCAAAAATGAAAATTCTGTAATTTATTCAAGTCGTTCCAAAAACCCAGACTTACCTTCTTCTGTGGAAAACAAAGGCACTTCCTTAGAATTTGTACGGCTCTCTTTTTTTATAGCAATGCACCAAAATTTGGTTTTACCAAATTACCAAATTGTTTGAATTTAGCAGAAAACCAAAAATTAATTTTCAGTTATTCATTTTTTTTGGTTATATTTGGCCGATTGCATAATGCAACCCGGTATACTGTTCAGAGTGTTGTGTTCTCAGGTAACAAATTAAATCAGTTGTAGTAAAGTTCTTCGACAATGAGTCGCCTCTCAATATTTCCTTTTATATATAGTTGTAAATATTTCCACACTGCTGACATCGTGTGTATCCGTTATATCTTATCCACATTATGTATATGAAATAGTCCAAATGCATCATCAGGGAAGTGCTAATTAAATCACTGTTTTGATCAATGCTTTTGGTTCTCCAAAACACTTATGGCCAAAACTGAATATTTGTTTTATTTATTTATTTTTATTTATTTATGTTTCAGCCGAATATTTTTGGTAGCTTAAAGTTTAATGCATTACTATTTTTCACACAATAAAGGTTAGTGTGGACGGATGCTTTCAAGCAATAAAAATAGACAAATTTACAAAAGGCACAATCGCCAAAAAAAAATTTTTTAGAAGTAGACCATACAAATCGTTTGAAGACATACAATAGCTTTGTGTGAGGAACAGCTCTACAATGGAATTCATGTTAATTATAGTGAGTCAAGAAGTGCGTGACATTTTGTTTATTACACTTTAATGAATTTTAAGATAATAAACATGAGATGTTAAAATGGTTAACCTTGAATCACTATTTCATGTCCACGTAATTATTGATGTTGGCATGAAAAGCTGTGTAAGAAGTGGTATGACTGTACAACACATTATCCCTTTGATTCGAGTCATGTTTGAACTTATTTTAGCCATGCAATAAATGGGATAATATACATCCTATCAGTTGTTATCGCCTGGCTGGGATTATTTTGCGATAACCAGTTGTTATTATCCCTTACTTAATTTACTTAGTGGATGCCTCAGCAAACCACAGTAAGGCAAGTTTAAATATGCTGAAATGTGCATTTTTCTTATATGAAAAAAGCAGTCTCATCATTCCGCTGAACATCTCCATTTATAGATGGAGGTTTGGAAGAAGATGAGGGTGAGAAAACTATGACAGAATTTTATTATTGGGTGAATTAACACTTTTGGTGTTTATTGTGTAGCGGCATTGGGATTAGTAGTCAATTTCAATTTATTTTAGAATGACGTTCTAAAATTTTAGATTATTTTAGAAGGAAGTTGTGCAGAATCTGACCTGTTCTGTCTTCATCAGCTATGACCCTCTCGTTAAAGTGTGGAAGCAGCTCCTACCCTCCCTCCTGTCGCTCTCTGCATAATGACTGGAGAAGCAAACCACCTGAAGGCGAACACAGAGCTGAACTGCATTAACATATCAGTGAGGACTTTGAAAGAGGCATTCCATGACTTCCTGCATGTGTTTGTGTGTGAGAGTGGGAGTGTTTAGATATGCACACTAATAGCCAAAATATGTTTTCCGTATGATCCACCCCATCATTTCTAGCACTTGGAAGGAATTCTGTTTATTATTTGAAGAGCAGCTAAATAAGTTTAACTACAGGCATGAATAAACCCGTAAACAAACCAGCGAGAGCTGTCGCACAGCAGACGAACAGAACTAAATTTCAGAACAAGACTGAATGAACACTGACACAAACATTTCAAAACATACCTGCTGTTGCGTTTAGCTGTTACCATGTCGGCCAACAGGAAGTGCACAGGAATCTGAACGGGAACTACAAAGTGGCTGTGACTTAAATATTTCCTTCCTCATCTTAATTCTTATCTCACACTTCTCTTTTATATTTCTTTTTCATTAGCTTTTTTTAAAGAGTGGCTATGAAGTGCTTAGGCCTTTTTTTAGTACAAATAAACAGAAAAACAGAAATGCATAAATACCCAAGGTGGCTATGTACAGTTTTATTTACAGATTTACGGTATGCCATAGTGGATGTAAGTCAGCCAGTGCCAGAGACTGTTCTGTCCCTCTCTCGTGGAGCTAAAGTCACTGATGTTACAGTTCAAACTGGAATGGGAACTAATGAACGCGGGCCTGGAAAATGTTCCCTGACTGCAGAACTCCCTCTAGAACCCTGTCCAGATCTGATTCTAGACTGTAGAGATATACAAACTGAACTGCTAGGGCAGTGTTTATCCCCGTTCTGTATAAATGTGGATTCCTGGTTTACCGCCATATATTAATGTTAGTTCTTTTTATGGTGATTGTCTTTTTTTTTTGTATGATATGTCAAACTCTGTCCAAGCAAATCTCAATGATGACTGTTCCTTTTGAAACTTGTACTTGGACAAGAAGTTATTGCTTTGGACCTCATTGAGATGTGGACGAGAAACAGGAAAAAGACTTTTGGTACTATGTACCACTAATATGTTTTCTGACATATATGTGTACTTAATCTATAATATATTTAAATGTGTTTGATTTAAATACATATATCGTTGAAACGTCTCTTGACGCAGGCTTTGTCTTGTTTTTGTTCATGGGTTCGATTGAACAAAGCGTTTTACAGTTACCCGTGTTGAAACCTGTGTGAAAATGATTGATTTGCACTTTGAAATTGGATTTGTGTTAACGTATTGAGCATAACTCAAATAAAATGAATTCGAAGAAGATAAGAATCCTATAAAACAGAAAAAAAAGAAAATGTTATTAAAATAAAAAACTTTCAAAAAAAAAAAGTAACTTTTCTTTTTACTTTAACATTTTAAGTTGTGTGGGCGGGTCTCAGAGATAAAGGTTCTCATTGGCTAGTTAGTTTTGGAGTGACATTACCAATTTTCTCATTTGTTTGTAGTATGCACGTTTTTAAAATATACTTTCCCATTCAGTGATTAAAATTATTAATGAATCTTTCAGTCTTCACTTTTTAAGTATTTTAAAGCATTTGAAAGAAATTGCATTCACCTTCGCTCGCAAAAGCATTGAAATATATTATACAAATAATATATTGAAATATATTATACATTGATTGAAATATAACTTTTCCTTCCATCTCAATTTTTTGTTTACATCACTGTCTCCCTTTAGGTGGTTTCTAGTCAGTGAAATATGTTGAGCATAACTAGAAAAAAAAAATTACAGAAATTTTCATGATGCTTGTACTCTGTGATGCTCAATATTTGTTCAATATTTGTTTCCATTCTCATACATAAGTGAAAAGTCCACGGCACGGTAAATCACCAGCAGAGGGCAGTGTAAGACACGCTACGCTTTCACACTTTTTGAAAATACATCAGAATGCTAAAACGAAATAAAACTATAAATAATACCGCATTTTATTATTGTTTACGTTTTTATACATTTGGGTTGCTGAATTATACTGGTTCATCCTATATTTAATGTGCTTTTATCGGTGTGTATGTTGCTGATCGAAACGCAGGGCATGAAAACTATAATGATGGCATGAGTTTATTACACGATTGAGGTTTTGAAAAAAAAAAAACAATCTGTGTGATTCAGATTTTCATGAATCAAAAACTGGTTTGAACACCTTCGCAGTGACGGTGACGCCCACATCCATGTGACTGAGGCAAGCGTGCAGCGCAGTAAGTTTGAGCTCGCACTCCTTCAGCGCGCGAGCTGCGACTCAGAGCTGAGGAAGATGATGATGATGATGATGATGGTGGTGGTATGTGGGCTGTGAGTAACGCGAACAGAGCGGATTCAGATCTTACTACATAGCGAGCACCTGCTGGTGGCAGTTCTGAGAGCTTGAGCTCTGGGTGTGACGGTTGTCTTTTGTCCTCCACCTGCTTTCCTCTCAGATGAATTAACTGGAATATCCTCTCTATTGAACTGGATCGAGCTGGAATTACGTTTAACGTTAATTAAAAAGTTAGGCGTGCTTATGCTCCGTAGTTCACTGGTGCATCTGTGTGTCAGCGGCACTCTTAGCGCATCGGAAACTCGTGTGTTTTTATGATTACTGGTGCTCGTCTAATGTCACCCAGTGAGTGAGCGCGCTCCAGATGCACTCGCTGTTTGATCGGAATCGGAAAGGGCTGGGAATCGATCTGTCTCCGGTCTCGCTGCCCCACGTTGCCGTGAGGATGTTCAGCTGTGTCGGGTGTTTTTGGGGGCTCCTGTCCTCCGCCCTGGTCGCGATTTGCAGTTTCAGTTTCATCTCGCCCGCATGGATAGTGAAGGACCATCTGAAAAACAAGGACTCCGTGAGTTTTGGGCTCCTGTGGCACTGCTCCGAGTCTCTGGATCATATGTACAGATGTTACACCTTTGGCGGGCTGGGCAAATTTCAAGAGATTCCTTCAAGCTCTTGGCAGGTAGGCTGGATGTGGATATCTATGGTAAACGTGCACTTACACATAAAGGTATGAAATGTGTTTGCTATAAAAACTGAGGATAACGCAACTTTTGAATAAAACGTAGCCTGACCTGCAGAATTATTACAGCATCAGTCTTGTATGGCTCCTGCACAAGCTACATAGAGGAACTTTTCTGTCCTAGGCGTTGATTTTAAAGAACATTGTTTTGTTTAAACATTTTTTAGTTTTAAAGAATAGATTGAAACAGATGAAAAGTGTATTTATTTATTTATACTTAAACTATAATTAAATAACTATACTTGTTATATCTTAATTTTGAAAAGTTGAAATGTTCGATTTTGATCTTGTTCTCCATTCAGACATTTTAAATTCCCCTTTATATAGTAAACTCATAAAAAGTGTTAACATCAAGGAAATGCAATGTTGCATTTTTAAACTAAGCGATCTTGATCTCCCCCCCCATTGGTATTCAATAGATGAAAATTACTTTACCATCATGCCAGCATTTTAGTTGACTTTAGTTTCTCTAAAAAGTTTTTATGTGAGAGGAGCACCTCTTTGCCAAGACAGAATAGTGAAAGTTTGAACATCATAAATAATGTCATTTTGAGTTGTTTTTTTTTCATAACGAGAGTAGCTTTGTCTTTATTTGTAAATCTAAATCAGAAAGAATGGATATATTTTCATTGTTATACACTGGAAGTTATTTGATGCTTTTGTTAGCAACTCCAAGGCTTATCCAAACATCCTCTTGAAGGCAGTCTCAAAAAAGTGAAACAATTTTCATTACAATCACACACAATATCAAGAATCCACATCATCATGCCAAATTAGATTATACCTCTTGGTTGGTTGGTCAAGTCTATATTCAGATCTTTATTCTAGGACATGTAATGAATGTTTTAACAAAGACAAAACCATAGTGTGAAGAAGTTTCCTTTTGAAAGATTTTCCTTTTGAATAATCACCTTTATACACTCTTGCTTTGGAAAAAAAAACATGGATTGTGAAAGTAAAATATATAATCACATGGCATAGATGGCTTTTGGCACATTCCTTGTTTATGATGGGAAAGAAGAGCAAACATTGCTTATCTCAGTGCAGGGCATAGTTTTGCTCATTTGACATAGGTCTATTCTTAGCAGCAAAGTGCATCAGTTTTTTCAATAATTCAAAGCTCATAAAACAAGAGTTGAATTTCAGAATCAGAATCAGAAAGAGCTTTATTGCCAAGTATGCACATACAAGGAATTTGTTATAGTGTCACAAGCTTCCAGTACACGGAGACAACAACAACACACAGATAATAAAAATAAGATGTGAATAAAATACACATGCATAAATATAAACCACAAAAAAAGAATAAATTGTATGTACAGGTGTGCTATAGATAGAATAGGAATAGAATAAAATAAAATAAAATAAAGTTGTAGGGATGTACTAGGATTTAGGGTGATAAATAAGTATACGGTTATTGCACATACTTTAATTGCACAATGGGAGAACATTAACTGTTCATGAGGTAGATTGCCTGGGGAAAGAAACTGTTCTTGTGCCTGGCTGTCCTGGTATTCGGTGCTCTGTAACGCCGACCAGATGGCAAAAGTTCAAAAAGGAGATGGCTTGGATGTGATGGATCCAGAGTGATTTTCTGAGCCCTTTTCCTCACTCTGGATGTATACAGTTCTTGGAGGGTAGGCAGGGGGGCACCAATAATCCTTTCAGCAGTCCGAACCGTTCTCTGTAGTCTTCTGATGTCTGATTTTGTAGCTGAACCAAACCAGACAGTTATTGAAGTGCACAGAACAGACTCGATGACGGCTGAGTAGAACTGCTTCAGCAGCTCCTGTGGCAGGTTGAATTTCCTCAGCTGGCGAAGGAAGTACAACCTCTGCTGGGCCTTTTTACCTCAGCAAGAAGCACAGAAGATCTTCAAGGCCAGCCATGCCATGGACACCGAAGTGCTCAAAGCAAAGGTGGGTTTACACAACCTCATACCGACTTTGCAATGCCATACTAGCCTGCTGTGTACTGTACACTATACTATATACTGTACACTGGCTTCTGTTTATTTAATAGCAGGTAAAACAGTAAGCATTTTCAAACAGTAGTATGCAAAATTGTCACAAGACATTATCACATTTATTGTTTAATTCAGTGTCCAGTTATCAGAACGGTGAGTCAAGAATAGATAAAGGCTATATTCATTTAGGTTCGTTCTTCACAGGAAAATAGATGATCAAGTCGAGTGCATTGCATTGTGGGATACATATCCCAGTATATTTTGCACTATATCAGAATCAGAAAGAGCTTTATTGCCAAGTATGTTTGCACATACAAGGAATTTGTTATAGTGTCACAAGCTTCCAGTACATGGAGACAACAACAACACACAGATAATAAAAATAAATGTGAATAAAATACACACGCATAAATATAAACCATAAAAAAAGAATAAATTGTATGTACAGGTATGCTATAGATAGAATAGGAGTAGAATGAAATAAAATAAAGTTGTAGGGATGTACTAGGATTTAGGGTGATAAATAAGTATAAGGTTATTGCACATACTGTACTTTAATTGCACAATGGGAGAACATTAACTGTTCATGAGGTAGATTGCCTGGGGAAAGAAACTGTTCTTGTGCCTGGCTGTCCTGGTATTCGGTGCTCTGTAACGCCGACCAGATGGCAAAAGTTCAAAAAGGAGATGGCTTGGATGTGATGGATCCAGAGTGATTTTCTGAGCCCTTTTCCTCACTCTGGATGTATACAGTTCTTGGAGGGTAGGCAGGGGGGCACCAATAATCCTTTCAGCAGTCCGAACCGTTCTCTGTAGTCTTCTGATGTCTGATTTTGTAGCTGAACCAAACCAGACAGTTATTGAAGTGCACAGAACAGACTCGATGACGGCTGAGTAGAGCTGTTTCAGCAGCTCCTGTGGCAGGTTGAATTTCCTCAGCTGGCGAAGGAAGTACAACCTCTGCTGGGCCTTTTTAACAGTGGAGTCAATGTGAGTGTCCCACTTCAGGTCCCGAGAGATAGTGGTGCCCAGGAATCTGAATGACTCCACCTGCAGCCACAGTGCTGTCCATAATGGTGAGTGGGGGGAGAGCAGGGGGGTTCCTCCTGAAGTCCACTATCATCTCCACTGTTTTGAGGGTGTTCAGCTCCAGGTTGTTAAGACTGCACCAGACAGCCAGCTCTTTAACGAATTTAAGAATTTAAGCTCGTTAAGAATTTGGACCATCCCAGTAAATGCTGATCAGTCCAGCTGGTAAAAATTTAAACGTAGTTGCATAGCCTGTTGAAATTTCCTTTTGCAGTTTACAACCTTGTAAAGTTTAAAAATTATCTGGCGTGTCTTAAAACTGGGTCACTTGAGAAAGTCCATCATCTGAGCAAACGGGACCGTGTCAAATAAGGCTCAAGATTTCTGGAGAGGTTAGTCAAACACTGAGTGTTTAGCAGGCTTTATTGGACTGTCCTCACTAATGTTTGTAAATTCAGAGCTGATTTGTCCTTGGGGAACATCTGCCTGCAGCAGCTTAATCATAGAGTCTTTTCACTGCACCTACTGCTTCTGTGCAACTATATGATCATTATAATAGCAAAAATATTATATTTCTTTCACTTATATGAAATGCCCAAGAGGTTACAGCTTTTATTTCACACTTATCTTTTCCATTGTCTTCGGTTCATTTTCACCCATTTTCAGGAATAAAAAATACAATATAAATACCACATTGTTTTTGATATTGAAACCAGGGGCCCGTTCTTCGTACGTCGCTTATTACATCCGAAATGAAATGTCATGATATCTGATATATATGATATCATCGCGCTAATCAGGATCTGGTTAATTTGGTTCCCCGAACGCACCTGTTGTTGATGATTAGTATGGTTGGATTGAGTTATCTGAGATAATTGCGCGTTCATGGGTTGGTTTAAAAGGGGCTATGTATCGATACTCGAAACCACGATCAGCAATGCAGCGATTGGCTGGCGGCAAGACAGCAACGTAATGACATCATATAATTAAAAAAGACAGCTGATGAAAAACTTGACAAATTTTTGGACTTTTATAAGGAAACAGCCAAGCGAACAAAACTACATAAATGTTATAATAGATAAATGAAATGTGCACTGTTTTTATTTTATTTTAATTTTTTACATAATTCCCAATTATTTATATTCACGATTTCTAATATTTGTACAGGCTTTACATTTTTATTTCAATGTAGTAATTAGCAATTCATTTAATTTTATATTTGAACAGATTTGTTACGTGACAGCAAGCATTAATTAAAGTTTCTTAAGGGTCAAGATCATGTTATCTGCATCTCCTGCACTCCATCAAGCCACTCCCAAAATATCTGTCACCACTCAAATTAATGCACGACTCTACATTATCTGTATAGCATGTGTGTAAGACTC